GCACCTCGGAGGTGAGGAAGAGGCGGAAGCCGGGCTTGGCCTCGAGCGAGTGGAGCTTCTTCTCGAGGTTGACCAGCCACTGCGGGGCCAGGTGCACGTTCTTGAGCAGCACCCACGTGCCCGCCTTGGCCCCGGCCTGGATGGCCTTCTCGGCCTGGTCGAAGCCCTCGGCCGACCCGATGGCCAGCGACTTGTAGGGCCGCTTGGTGCGCGCCGCCAGGTCGTCGACCTTGTACGACGCGTCGTAGCCGGGCATCGAGCACAGCACCAGCGGCGTCGACGGCCCGGCCTCGCGCTCCACGACGGCGCCCAGGTCGAGCTCCGGCAGGTGGATAAAGTCTCCGCCGCTGCCGGAGCCGGCAAAGAGGGCCTGCACGAGCGCGCTGCCGCCGGCGATGATGCGGTCCGGGCGGAGGCCCTTGAGCAGGGTGAGCGTGCGGAAGAGGCGCACTGACTCGGCCGCGCCGGCGTTGGCTCCGGCGTTGGCCCACGACTCGGGCACGGCGCGCTCGCCGTTGGCGTCCTCGAAGAAGAGGCGCCACTCGTCGGGATGAGCCGCGACGTGTTCGACGATGCCGGCAAAGGGGCCGCCGGGGAGGGCCTTCTCGAGCTCGGCCAGGTACTTGGCCTGGCCCTCGGTGACGAAGGGCAGGGCGGTGAGGCTCGCGGGGGCGGTGACGGCGGCGGTGACGGTGACGTCGGCGCCCTTGAGGACGTAGTCGAGCTCGCGCGGGTCGAACTGGTGGGCGGCGGGGGCGTCGCGGAGGCGGATCTGGAGGAGGCGGAGGGCGAACGGGAGCTGGTCCTCGTGGAGGAGGGTGCGGGCGACGCGCTGGAAGGCGATGGTGAACATGTCGGCGCTGAGGATGGCGAGGCGGTCGGCGGCGCCGCGCACGGCGGCGAGCTTGGGGTTGTCGTGGAGGACGGCGCGGAAGAGGGCGAGGAAGAAGCGGAGGGAGAACTGGTAGAGGAAGTGAATGGAGGCGGCCTGCTCGAGGGCAAAGTAGATCGAGGAGCAGGCCAGGGCGAGCGGGTTGTACTCGGCCGAGACGAGGCTGATCTCGCCCATGACGTTCTCGGTGTCGCGCATCTTCTGGTTGATCTCGCCGGCCTCGGTCTTGAGGCGCTCGAGGGTGGCGATGACGTGGTCGTTGTCGAGGATCGAACCCTGGGACTCGTTGAGGGCCTCGAGGAGGGCCTTCTCGAGGCCGCGCAGGCGCACCTTGAACTCGCCCTGGAGCTTCATGAGGTCGACGCGCTTCTGGTGGATGTCGGGCCGTTCGACCTTGAGCACCTCGTGCAGGCACTGCTCCTGGAGCGAGCCCGGCGTGACGGTGAAGTTGACAAAGGTGACGCGCGAGCACAGATCCGGCGTGAAGTGGGCGTTGGGGTCGCGCGTGGAGAGGAAGATGACGAACGAGGGCGAGAAGTCCACGTCCTGGTCGCCCAGCCGGATGAGGATCCGGCCGCCCGTCTTGCGGATCTCCTTGTTGAGCACCGGGTTGAGCACCGGGTCGATCGACTCCACGTCCTCCACGAGCAGCGGCGTGCCGAACCGCAGCGCCGACTCGAGGTTCTTCATGAAGGCGGCGTCGAGGAACGACGTCTTCTTGATCTTGCGCTCGCGGTACTGCTGCATGAGGAACTCCGAGGCCTGGCCCGACGGGTCGATCACGAGCGGGTACCGGTTGAACCGCTCCAGCATGATCGCGTTCTCCACGCACAGCTCGTCGGCCGGCAGCGAGTTGGCCTGCCACGCCAGCCGGCGGTCCGAGTCCGACAGGTACTCGATCACCGAGAGGTCGGGCTTGAAGGTGAGGCCCAGGTCGGTGAGACGCGCCTTCCACTGCGTCAGGAGCATGGCCCGGTAGCGCTGGTCGAACACGCCGATGTAGGCCACGAAGGCCGCCGCCAGGATCGAGTCGCCCACCACCGTCGCCATGGCGGCCTTGAACGCCGCCGACGAGGCCTCCCATCGGTCGCGCTCCGACGAGAGGTTGGACAGCAGCGCGATCGAGCGCTCCACCTTGGCCCCCACCGTCGCCATCTCGGTCTTGATGGCCTGCGCCTGCGCGATGAGCGCTGCGTACTCGTCCTTGTAGCGCCCGATCGAGCGCTCCAGGTCGGCGATCGTGGCCTGCAGCTCGTCCTGCTTGCGCGCCAGGTCGCTCGCGGCGGCCTCGAGGTCGGCCACCTCCTGGCGCAGGGGCTGGATGCGGTTGAGGATATCAGAGTAGGAGATCTGGGCGATGATCCACGACACGAGCGGGCCGCAGGCCTTGGAGGCGCGGTTGACGCTCTCAAAGTTGAACTCCTTGTCGGAGAGGTACTCGGCCTGGATGGCCTGGCGGTCCTTGGCCGAGATGGCGTTGGAGTCGAACTGGACGATGGACGGGATGAAGGCCTTGTCCATGAGCAGCTTGCGCGTGTTGTTCCAGTCGAGCTTCTTGTGGTGCAGCAGGATGGAGACGGCCTCGAGGGTCTTCTTGACCTTTTCGGGCGGACGCGCGAGGGCGCGGATCTCCTCGAGGTGCTCCTTCTTGATGCCCGACACGGCGCTGCGGGCCTCCTCGACAGCGGGCTCGGCCTTCTCGAGGTCGGCGTAGGCGCGCTCCTTCTTTACCTGGATCTCGGCGTTCTGCTTCTCCATCTGGCCGGAGAGCACCTGCGCGGCGGCGCGCTTCTGCTCAGCCACCTGCTGGTCCTGCACCATCTGCGCCAGCTTCTCGTTGGCCTCGGCCTGCTTGGCCTCGAGCACCTTGCTCTTCTCCTGGAGGCTCTTCTGCAGGTCGGCCACCTGCTGCTGCGTGTCGCGCAGCTTCTGCAGGCCCACGTTCACGTGCAGCTGCTGCTCCTCGAGCTCCTCGCGCTTCTCGCCCACCAGGTGCACCAGGTGCGAGATGAAGTCCAGGTAGTGCCGCGGCGTCACGTAGTTGGACCGGCCCGCCTGCCGGTGCAGCAGCAGGTTGGCCTCGTTGATGGTGCCGTGGATGTAGACCAACGCCGCCACCACGGCCTCGCGGTGCGACAGCGCGTCGGGCGCACCGCCCACGACGCCGCCGGAGCCGGCGAGCGGGAGGTCGGCGAGGTCGGGCAGGAGGAGCGCGTCGGGCGCGATGCGGTAGGCCGGGTCGTCGAGGTCGACGTTCTGGGTGAACTCGGACCCGACCTGGAAGAGCGCCGACGGGGACCACTCGCCGAACCAGTCGAGCACGCAGCGGTTGAAGAGGGCCGGCGAGGTGGCCGAGCGGTTGTGGAAGTCGGGCGAGGCCGGGTTCATGGTGAAGATGATGTGGAGGTTGCGGCGCACCTGGAGGGTGAACCACTTGTACATCTCGTCCTCGGTGTCGGCCAGGAGGCCGTGGCGCTGGACGGCCTCGCGGCAGGCGTGCATGAGCGAGGTCCACTCCTCGCCCTCGAAGAGGCCCGGCACCTCGCCTGAGGCCAGGAGGGTGTTCATGCGCTCGAGGAAGGCCGAGTCGAGCACGTTGGACTCGTCGAAGATGAAGCAGATGCGCTCGTCGTTGCAGCCGGCGCGCTTCATGACGTGGCGCAGGTCGTCGTCAAAGTCCTCGGCCGTGTAGCGGTTGTTGACCTTGATGGTGAAGATCGACTGGCCGTTCATCCACGCCACGAAGCGCGACAGCACCGTCTTGCCGCCGCCCGAGACGCCGATGAGGAGCGCGTGGCCCTGGGGCTGGCGGAGCACGCGGTCGATGCGGAGGATGTGGTCGAGCACCTCGTCGAACACGACGAGCGGCACGTCGAGCTCCTCCTCGTAGAAGACCTTGAGGCGGGCCTTGACGTGGTCGCGGAGGGCCTCGCGCTCTACGCGGGCGTACTCCTTGGAGAGCCAGTTGGAGAAGAGGATCGGGCGCGCGAGGCAGCGCGGGTCGAGGCTCGGGAAGTGCTTGAGCACGATGGCGTCGATGGTCTCGTCGGTCCAGCGGGCCTCGTCGCGGCTCACCAGGCGGTCCTGGAAGAGGCGCAGGCCCTCGTGCACCCACAGGCGCATGAGGTCCTCCAGGGCGAGGCCCTCGACCTGCTTGAGGGCCTCGAGCAGGGCGCGCATCCAGCGCGAGAGCTCGCGCGGGGAGTAGATGTAGTGGGCCTGCATGTCGGGCACGAAGCGCTGCTGCGAGGCCAGGTAGAACTCGACCATGGCCTCGGTGAGCGCGCTAGCGTGGCCGCGCAGGGCCGGCTGCAGCTTGAGCAGCGCGCGGTAGAAGGTGCCGTAGATCTGGCGCAGCGACTCGGCCGACGGGAAGTCCACCAGGAGGAGCGGCACGTGGCGCAGGAACCGGTGCGTGAGCGGCACGCGCCCGGCGTCGGTGGGCGGGTTGCAGGCGCCCACGAACTGGATGCGGTGCAGCGTGATCCACTGGTGGTCGCTCGTGCGCCAGAAGCCGTTCTGCTCCACGAGCTGCCGCAGGAACGTGATCACGCGCTGCGTGCCGTACTTGTCGGCCGCCGGCAGGTTGCACTCGTCGCAGAAGATCACCAGCCACTTGCCCATGACCGTGGGCTGCAGCACGGTGCCCTCCTGCGTGCGCTTGTACTCGCAGTGCTGGTCGAACGTCTTCAGCAGCAGCTCGGGCGTCGTCGCCGACGAGAAGTTGAGCGACACCAGCTCCAGGTCCGGCAGCGCCTTGAGCGACGACATGAGCGTCATCGTCTTGCCCGACCCCGGCGGGCCGCACAGTACCACCGGCCGGTGCTCGGCCAGCCACGCCTTGAGCGCGTCCTCGTGCCTCACCGTGTCCACCGTCGGAATGACCACGTCGGGCGACGCCACCAGGTGCGACTCCACTTCGACCTGCGGCACCCGCACCGTCCACGGCTTCCACTCGCCGTCCTCCACCGACGGCCAGTAGTCCAGCAGCGACGTCGACTCGGTGAGCGGTGGCATGGGCAGCGTCGTCTGCCCGGCGATGAAGCCGCCCAGGGCCTCGCGCTCCACCAGCGGCATCGACCCGCCGAAGCCCCACATGATCGAGTAGCACAGCCGGTTGGCTACGTAGCGGTCGGCCACGTCCACGGGCAGCGCAAAGTCCGCGTGGTTCTGGTTGTACTCGATGACGTTGACCACGCCCTTGTTGACCAGCGAGAACATGGCCTCGATCACGCGCAGCCGCGTGAGGTCCATGATGTGTGAGTCGCGCCCTGCGACCCACGTCAGGCACTTCTCCACGAGGCCCTCCTCGGCCAGCAGCGGCGCCAGCACATCGGCGGCCTGGCGCTGCACCTGGAGACCCGGCGGCACCCACTCGTCCTGAATACACACATTTATCGCCCAAGCGGTTAGTCAACGTTGTGGTTGTCGTGTTGTTATCGTGTGGTGTAGTATATGTGCGTGTGCTATTGTGAATGTAGGGGGCGGGAGAGGACGTGGTCGCGCCGATCGCCGGCTAGTGCGACGTCCCACACCCGCGCCCCAAATTGTTGTGGCCTCGGCATTAAACCCGCCTTCCGCATGGCCACGCGAGGTGGCGCAGAGGCAGCCAACGAACCCAGGCGTGGAGGGTGTTTCGGTGGTGTGTGGCCAGACTGGAAATAACAAATACACAAATAGATAAATAAATAAATCATACCTTGGGGCCGTCGGTGACGGTGCGGCGGCGGAGGAGCTGGTCGCGCTCCTGCTCGTCGAAGGGCTCCTCGCGGAGGCGGGTGAGGTAGCGGGCGAAGAGCATCTGGGTGGTGAGGGTCTCCTCGGAGAACCAGACCATGCCGCAGCGGGAGACGGTGGCCAGGGTGGCGTACTTGAGGTCCTGGACCTCGAACATGACGCGCACGTTGTTGGGGAGGGCGAGGCGCTCGCCGTTGGGCAGGGTGAGGAGCTTGTTGTCATCGAGGAGCGAGTTGAGGTTCTCGACCCACTCGGGGTCGACGTCGCCGTCAAAGATGATCCAGTGGCGCTTGTGGGCCTCGCCGCGGAGGTTGTCGACGATCTTGCGGAGGAGCGCGGTGAAGAGGCCGTCGGTCCACTCGCGGGTGGTGGCGTCGAGGGTGCCAAAGAGGCTGTCCTTGGTGATGGCCTTGGGGTCGAGCACGTAGGCCTTGGTCTCCACGCCGTCCATGCGCTCGAGGGCCTTCTGGAGCACGGCCCACGACGCGGTCTTGCCCGAGCCCGAGGGTCCGACCATCATGCAGCCGTGGCGGAGGAGCAGCACCTGGTAGAGCTGCACGAGCTTGTCGATCCACTGCGGGGCCGGCACCAGGTGGCGCTCGCGGCAGATGGCGGCGATGTGGTCGCGCAGCACGGCGAGCTCGGTGGCGACGACGGCGACGCGCGGGAACACGTCGGAGAGGAGGCCCGTGAAGAGGGGCACATCGGAGGCGACGAGCTTGGGCGTGACGGTCTCCCAGATGGAGCGGAGGAGGATCTCCTGCTCGAAGGCCTGGATGCCGGCCTCGTCGAGGTCGCCCGGCGTCGGAGTCTGGCGCTTGATGTTGCCCGCCGACACGAGCACTGACTTGAGCGCGCGGAGGCCGAAGTCGTAGTGGGACTGGGCCGAGAGCTGCTCCTCGCAGAGCTTGAACAGGGGCACCACCTTGCTGGCCAGCCGCTCGGCCGTGCGGTAGCCCTGCGAGTAGAGCATGACCTGCGCGATGAGCTCGCGGTCCGGCTGGATCATGGCCACGCCGCGGAATAGCTGCTTGAGGTTGTCCGGCAGGTTGGACCGCCCGGCGTAGCCCGGGTTCATGGTGACGAACACGCCCATGGACTGGTTGACCTTGACGGCCTTGCCGATGATCTCCACCTCCTTGGCCTTCTCCTTGAGCGCCAGCTGGATGGCCTGGATCTGCTGCGACACGGCCGACAGGATGCGCTCCTCGAGCCGGTTGAACTCGTCGAAGCAGCCCCACGCGCCGCACTGGCACAGGCCCACGAAGATGCGGCCCATGGCCTGGAAGTCAAAGTTCTCGTCGCAGCAGAACACGATCACGAACCGGCCCAGCTGCTGGCCCAGCGCCTTGACCGTTTCCGTCTTGCCCGTGCCGGCCGGGCCGAACGGGCTGCCGCCCATGCGGCTCTCGAGCGCCTGCGTGAGCGTCAGGTAGCACCGGTCGGTGAGCGGCGTCTGCACGAGGCGCTCGGCCACGCCCAGGTACTCCCACCCGTAGGCGAACGACGCGTCGGCCATGCGGATGACCACCTTCTTGAGGAACGAATCCGCCGTCTCGTCCCAGTAGAAGCGCATCTGGTAGAGCCACGCGAAGTCGGCCGCCGACGCCACGCCGTCGGCCACGAGCTGCCGCGTGACGTCGCGCTGGTGCACGCACTCGGTGATCAGGTACTCGAGCTTGCTGCGCTTCATCGCCGGGATGTCCTCCAGCACGGCGTCGGCCAGGTGCGCCAGCTTGGTCTCCACGTCGGCCACCACGGCCGCGAGGGCCTGCGAGCCACCACCGGAGGCGGCGGCCGTGAGGGCGTCCTCCACCTGGCGGGTCCAGCCGATCTGGGTGGCGATGAGCAGCAGCTGCGCGGGGCAGCGGTCGATCCAGCCCAGGTAGGCGGGCACGTCGAGCGGGGCGTCGGGACCCTGCGGCTGGAGGGCGTTCATCTCGGCGAGCACGTCGGCGGTGGCCGAGGCCAGGGTGTGCTTCATCTCGTTTTCGACCTGGGCGAGCCACTCGTAGATCTTGGGGTGGTCCTTGAGCGAGACGACGCGCTTGAACATGACGGTCTCGCCCTCGCGCGAGGCCATGCCCAGGATCTCGGTCTGCGAGTCGTCGAGCACGAGGGCGGCGAGGCCGGCGAACATCTTGCGGAGGTGCTTCTGGATCTTGACGATGTCGCGGCTGTTGCCGATGATCTCGAGCAGGTCCTCGTCGCCGACGAAGTAGAAGCGCGGGAAGGCGGAGCGCTGGCGCTCGAGGTACTCACCGAGTGCCTTCTGGATCTTGGCGAGGAGGTCGGCGAGGCGCTCCATCTGGCGGTGGATGCCCTCGATGTGGAGCACCTCGAGCACGCGCGGGGCGGCGCTCACCTTCTTGTGGAGGGCGACGAACTCGGTGTTGATGGCGCGGAAGCGGGCCGACTCCTGCGGGAGCAGGTGCTGGATGTCGCCCGAGCCGGAGAAGATGCCCTCCAGGTAGACCCAGCGGCGCTGGACGTCCATCCACACGTCGAACAGGTTCTGGAGGCGCGAGAGCTTGTCCTCCCACCCGGTGGACTCCTCCTCGAAGACCTTGAAGTAGGGCGACATGCGCATGGCGCCCAGCGAGTTGGAGTGCTCGGCGAGCTTGGCGAAGAGGTCGTCCCAGCCGCGGATGAGGCGGCACTTGTTCTGGTAGTTGACCAGGTCGAGCTCGGCCGTCTCCCAGTACTGGCGCACCTGCTTGAGGAACTCCTCGAGGGCGAGCTCGCCCTGCGCGCGCTGGATGACCTCCTTGTAGAGGCCGGCGTACTTGTTGACGTCGGTGGCCCACACGTCGCCCAGCGTGAGCTCGTTGAGCAGCCACTGCGCGTTGAGCTTGCGCCGCAGCTCCTTCCAGTGGCGCTCCTTGACGGCCTCCGAGTGCAGGTCGGCCACCACGACGTTGGCCTTGAGGTAGTCCTTGACCGTGGTCTGCAGGTGCTCAAAGGCCGAGTACTGGCGCACGCGGTTGGGCAGCGTCTTAAGCGCCGCCAGGATGTCGTCGAGCGCCTGGCGCACCTTGCGCGGCATGACGGCCGACCAGGGGGTCTCCTTGAGCTGGTCGAGGTTGGCCCACACCTGCGCGAGCTTGGACCACACCTCCTTGAGGTCGCGCATCTCCTCCTCAATGGCGCCCAGCTGGTCCTCGCCCGAGGGCTCCAGGTCGAGCGCCTGCTTGGCCGCCGCGATGCGCGTGTGCTCCTCCTTGAGCCGCACCAGCCGCCCGTCGAAGATGCGGAGCGTGTCAAGCGCGGCCGAGTGGCGCGTGTCCCCGGACACCGGGCGCTGCGCGGCCCAGTCGTCGGCGAACTGGCGGATGCGCTCGTCGAGCAGCTTGGCTTCGGCGGCCACCTTCATCTGCAGCGACGGGATCTGCGCGTTGAGCGAGTCGGTCTTGCGCTGCAGGATCTCGTTGAACACGTGCCACTCGCCGTCGACCATGTCGTACTCGAGCCAGTCGGCCGGGAAGCTGTAGCGCTGGCGCCGCAGCAGCTCCTGCCCGTTGGCGTAGGTGCGCAGCTCCTCGCCCCAGGCGGGCAGGCTCTTGCGGATCTCCTGCACGCGCAGGATGAACACCACCGCGTCGGCCGTCGACTCGGCCTCGACCTGGTGCCGCTCGAGCTCCGTGCGCGCGCCACTGATGGTGGCGTAGAAGGCGCGCATGGCCTCGCTCATGCGGCTGGCGAAGCGCTGCAGGATGTCCTTGTGCCACAGGTCGTACTTGTGCGACACCGACGACTGCACCTGGCCGTAGACCACCACCACCGGCCCGAACCGCTTCTCGCTCTCCGAGTTGTCGAACGTGCGCCGCGAGCGCTTGATCTCCTCGAGCAGCCGCTGCCACAGGCTCAGGTCCTCGCCCAGCCGGTTGAACACCGTCGACGCCTCCATGTCCCACAGGGCCTGGTACTGCAGCCAGATGTCCACGTACTCGGACACCTGCCGCAGCCGCTCCTCAATGGCCTCGTAGACCTTGCGCAGGGCGCCCTCCGGCAGCCGCGCCAGCAGGTGCCGGTACGTCGGCGGCGGTGCGCGCTCGGCGTCCTTCTTGTGCGACAGCGACGCGTCGTACCGCGAGCTCTGCAGCCGCGGCAGGTCGCAGATGGTGCCCAGGTAGGCCGACAGCTGCTGCAGGAACGTCTGGCGCGCGTGGTGCAGGGGCGGCTGCAGGTGCATCATCTGGTTTCGGATGAGCACCTCGTGCACCGACGTACGGATCAGCGGCCGGTGGCGCGCCGCTTCCTGGGCGTCCTTCCGCGGGGACGACGACGAGTCGCCGCCCGCCACGACGAGCGCATCGGATCCGCTGCCCTGACCGTCGGCGGCGGGCGCGGAGCCGTCGGTGGAGAAAGTCGAGAGCCAGGCGTCGAGGGCATGCAGCAGCCGCTCGGTGAGGATGGCCTCGAGCTGCTTGTCCAGCCGACGCACCCAGGCGTCCAGGTTGGAGTACCCGGCCAGGTTGAGCTCGTCCACAGCCTCCTGCAGCTTCGACGCGATCCTGTGCAGCGCAGGGCCGTGGATGGGGCAGCTGCCCAGCTGCTCCATACACTGCACGATCTTCTCGTGCTTGGTCAGCAGCTCGTCCACCTTGTCCCTGTTGTTTGGGGAGCGGACGTGTGAGTAATCAAGCGGGGTATAATAATGATAACATCAATGAAAATACGGACCGGAAGGTGGAAACGGCGTCGGCAAGGCGGCGCACGTAGGGCTCCAGCTTGGAGCCGGCCTCCCACTTGGAGTGGAAGCCCTCGTTGAGAAGCGTCTGTACGTCCTTTTTGTAGGCCGCAACGAGCGGCGCCACTTCACCGCCCACGCGCGCGCAGGACTGTCCGCATAGGGAGCGTCAGCACCTCAGCCCACGAGCCGAGAGGGGGTGAGAAATGTCATGCATGACTGGCGTACCTGAATGTAGGTGCGGACCGACTCCTTGAGGGAGACGGCGAACGGGTAGACCTGCTTGGCGCTGGAGGCCAGCAGGATGATCTGCAGCGGCACGCGGAAGTTGAGCGCCTGCAGGTTGCGGACCTCCTTGAAGAGGGTGATGATCTGCGGGTCGAAGTGCACGTCGAGGTTGAGCTTGGCGCCCTTCCGCGCCACGTCCAGCAGACGACCGGAGATCTGGAAGTTGCGGCTTTCGACGTCCTTGACCCACTCCTCGAAGATGACGCTCGTGTTGAGCTTGCGCCGGAAGCGCTCGCCGTCGGCCTTGAGCTTCTGGCCCTGCACGTCGACCTCCCAGCCCTTGCCCAGGATGTCCTCGACGCGCTTCATCTCGGCGGCCAGCTGGCGCTCAATCTGGGTGGCCCAGATGATGGCTCCCGCAATCGGCGGCAGATCGCGCAGCTGGGCCATGTAGGAGGCCTCCGAGTTGGAGTACTGCTGCTTGAACTTATGGTGCAAGACCCTACGACGAGCCACGAGCCACGTCAGCACCGAATAAAAAGAATTAAAAAATGATGCGCTCGCAGGAACAAGCCGTACTTGATATCGTCCTTGACGCGCTCGATCAGTTGGGCCTGGTAGAGCTGGATGGCCTCGCGCACGCGCGGGCGGAAGAAGAGGGCGTTGAACTTGCTGAACACGCGGAACATCTCGCTGGCGTTCTTGGCCGTGGCGAGCCTGTCGCAGAGCTGGTCCGTGATGTGCGTCTCCACGCGATCGATCCTCCCCTGCACAGTAGAGGAAACGAAAAGAGAGAACCGTAAGAACCTGTGTCGTGTGGGAGAGCGGAAAGAGAGCTTCGAGCAGTGATGAGGTGCCGTACCTCATACTTCTTGACACCGGCGCGCCAGGCCTCCGCGCCCTCGGGCGAGAGGTCGAGGACGTCGAGCTGGATGACGAGCTGGTAGGCCTCGTGAATCTCCTTGCTGGGGTTGATGCCGCCGGGACCGGCCACGCCGCTGGGCAGCACGCGCGAGACAACGCCGTGGAGCTCCTCGTGCTGCTGCCTGAACTTGCGCACCTCGTCGATGCGCTCCTGGAGCTGCCGGTTCTCAGCGTTGATCTTGAGCGGGATCTTCTCCTTGTTTCGCTTCTTGGCGATCTCGCGGATGGAGTCGCGGAAGGACTCGAACTCGTCCTCCCACACGGCAAAGACTTGCTTGCAGTCGCCGGTGACCCGGTCGAAGTCGGCGTAGCTCATGTGCATGAGCCGCTTGGTGCGGAGGATGCTCAGCACCTTGCTGCACAGGTCCCGGGAGATGGCCTCGACGAGCTGCAGGTAGCGGTTGATCGGATAGTAGGCGTTCTTCGTGCGCTTGAGGTGCGTGAAGATGGCCTTGACCGCCTCGGAGATCTTGCTCACCTCGGCCGCGGTGAGGAGGTCGTCGATGGGGAAGTCCTTCATCATGGGCTTGTACTGGGCCACCACCTCCTTGGCCTTCTTGAGGCCGATCGTGTCCGTGTCGAATGCAGCCGTGGCGTGGAAGCGCTTGGCCTGCTTCAACGCGTTCAGGGTGCACTCTGCGCAGATCATGGAGGATGATGGAGAGGGGTCGCATGAGCCTATGCGTACGTAGCGCGGGCTTCAAGGTTGTGTGTGGTGTGTGTGTGTGTGAACGTACGGGACTCGGGCGTCTCGAGCTGGTCGGTGATGTTCTGAAGGACGCCCTCAAGCTCGACCCAGAACTTGATCTCCTGTAGCGTTTCGCTGCCAGCCGGCATCGTCTCGATTCTGAAATGGCGGTTTCGAGGGTGAGAACTAGCAACGACGTGGTGGCGGCGGCGGCGGCGGTGCGGTACCGTTCGTGCTTGGTGACCTTCTGGATGTTGCGAATCCACACGTTCACCATGGCCTGGAGCGAGTTGAGGAAGTGGGTCTCCGTGGCGTGCTCGCCCAAGTCCTCGACTCGAAGCGTACGGCCGCCGTCCTAAACATGCACGGCGTGAGTAAAAGGCAGCCGCGGCCAAAACAAACAAAACTTGGAGTAGCGAGTCGCGTAGAGGGGCGGGCTTGAACCTTCTTGGCGGCTTGGGCAATGTCGGGGTGGAAGGAGAGCTTGACCTGCTCGATCTGTACATTTTGCTTGCAGTTGTAGAGGGTGAGCTCCAGCTCGGCCATCTTCTTTTCGACGACGCCCTTGGGATCCTTGTCGCTCTTCTTGCCTCCCGCCTTCATGAACGATCGGAAGAAGGGGTTGAGGGAGTGATGCAGAAACGCGTGCAGCGAATCGAATGGCGAGCCGTTCAGCTTGATCACTTGCAGCTGGCCCACGAAGTCCTTGCCGCCATCAAAAACGGCATCGGGCTGCGTCTTGATGATGGCAACGCTGCTCGACTTTTCATTCACGAACGAAACCTCCAGCTCGATCGAAATCGTCGGCTTCGCTCCTGATTGCGATAAAGCTTTTGAGCATCATTTGGCCGAGCATTTCACGAAATGTAAGGGGATGAGTGTACCTGCACTCACGGTCCCTTCCTCTACCTCCTCATCGTCAGGTGCGGCAAGATTGATGAAGAGCACGGGATTCTTGGGGTCACTTGCGAATTTCTTTAGCTTGAAAGTGGCATCGGGGGTGTGCAGGGCCGACGTGATGTCATCCTTCGATGCCCCGAGCAGATAGGGGCATACGCCCGCGATGAAGTTTTCCACCGCGGTCACATCCTCCATGCCCACAGTGACCGCCCCGCTCTCGGCGGTGACCGTCTCCATCTTTGTGTCGATCGGGCAGCTGGTGATGCGACCCGGCAAGAAGTGGAGCTGTGAGCCTTGATGCGCTCCTCCTCTGCGTCTTCGGTCGCCCCTCTGTGTGTCGACAAAATAACCAGGGATACTGGGATTTAACCGGACATTTGTACGCTGTGCTTGCCCTCGGCCGAGGGTGCAGTCACGCTGGGAACAAGACAGCACCTTGACTGAGCTCATTCACCTTCCCCGAGGGCGCACCCAGCAGATCGGCCAAAGCGAGAAGAAAAGAGAAACGTGACAACGGTTGCATTTGGTGTTTGTTTGTCCTCCGCTAGTCGCGCTGCATGGGCGAGGAGGGCAGGGCAGGGCACCATTGTGTGACGTGCGGCACGCGACGACGCGTGGCGACGATGCCGTGGCACATGTCGCACACGAAGCTGCTCCCATCGGCCTGGGCCTGCTCGAGGATATGGCCTCGTCCACGCTCCTCGACCAGAATCGCACCACCGCCGGGCTGGGTCTGCAGTTGCAGTCCGCGGGCCGCCGCCACAAGATGTGCGAGTGCGGGGTCGTCCTCGCCCAGGGCCGCCGCGATGGATGCCATCTCCATCGCGCTCAGTCCCTGCTGCGGTGTCTCTGCTGCTCGCGCTTCGTCGTCCACCTCCATTGTGAGCATAAGAAATAAGAATAATCAAAACAGTATTTCTTATTTTGTTTTTTCTCTTTTGCTGGCCAAAGATCGAAATGGCGGCGCCAGGAGGACAGCAGGGGCAACCCATCCCAATCACCAGCCTTTCCCTCGAGCAGCTCTCCAACCTCAAGCAACAGTTTGAAGAGGTTTGTTTAATTATTCTCATTTTTTTTTTTTGAATTTTGTACCAATTGTCATTGTGCACGATTTAGATCTAATTAGTGCGTACTATTGAAATCGTAGGAGGCGCAAACGCTTGCCGCATCGCTGCAAAAGCTCAAGACTGCCGGGCAGCGATTCCTCGACTCCAAGGACTCCCTCGCTGCCCTCACGCCCGAGACCAACGGTTTGTGCACCAAACGCTTACCCCAGCGGAGCCTTTGCTTTGCACCGTCCAGTCTCCTCATACAGTCCACCCTCCTTGTTTGGAGTGCTCATGCGCGCAGGTCGAGAGGTCTTGGCGCCCCTTACCAGCTCCGTACGACCCCACCTCGCGCGCTCTTTGGGCGTGTGCGGTGGCGTGTGCACCACCAGTGTGTGCTTGCGGTACTCGCTCTGCCGTTGGCTAGCTAACGCAAATGGATCGGGCGGGTGCAGCTGTACGTGAAGGGCAAGCTGACCAACGTGGAGGCCGTCATGATTGACATTGGCACCGGCTACTACATTGAACGCGTACCCTATCTCTGCTCTTTAGACCCTGCGCCTCGCCACCTCTAGCGTGCCACCAGTGATGCGCTGACACAACTCCGTGTCGTCATCTGTATCATGGGTGCGCAGACCCCACAGCAGGCGCAGGAGTACGTGGACAGAAAGCTGGGTCTCGTGCAGGAGAATGCGGAAAAGCTGCAGCAAGCCCTCCTCACCAAGCGCAAGAATCTGGAGGCCATTATTGGCGTCATGCAGGAGAAGATGGCCCAGCAGCCGCAGTAGTTGCCTCTCAAGACAAACAACTCTGCCTTCATACTGTGTACTGGCTGATGGCAGGGACCACGTCCCAAGACTCTAGTAAGGGCAGGTGAAACAGACCTAGTTCATTAAAATGATCACCACACCCTGTGCCTGTTGACATAATGCTAGGGAAGAGAGGAAATATAAATACAAAGGGAACTAGGGGTTGAAACCAAACCTTGTGCTTGATGAACTGGTCAGTTGACAGTTCATTTAGTCTGAGTGTTGTGAGTGACACATAACTGAGTTTCATTTGCAATGGGTGTTTTGCTGGATCAGCCACCACAAGGATTGTGAAGTGCCAACATGCCTGGCAAGCCCAAGGTGTGGCAATTTCTCCCTTATTTTAAAAGTGCAAACTCAAGTTTCCCCACACGGTCTTGGGCCGCACGCCACGTGCAGAAGAGGAAAAACAACCCGATCGAGTAACTCGATAATAACAAAATAACCACAGATAACAAGAGAGGAAAAACTCAGCCCGGCCGAAGCACTGCCATGGCGGACGGCCGTAGCATGCACGATTACCGCATCGTGGTGGTTGGCCCTGGCGGAGTCGGGTTCGCTTTCTGCCCCCCCCGAGCAACGGACATAAAAAGACGAAAGTGAATGCCGGGGGGGGGATGGAAAGAACGAAAGGAGTGGCGGCTGACGGCTTCACGTGGTGAATGGTGGGCAACAGGAAGTCGGCCATGACGGTGCGCTTCATACAGGGCAACTTTGTGGAGAAGGTACCTACCTTATTTTATCCTGGTAGTTTTATTTATAATCAAATAACAAAATAAAATAAAAAATTGACATAAAGCCGAGACTGACGCTGGCCGGGTGCGTGGCTGTGTTTGTGTTGAGTACAGTACGATCCGACGATAGAGGACAGCTATCGGAAGGGGGTGGAGGTGGACGGGCAGGCGTGCATTCTGGACATCATGGACACCGCTGGACAGGTTTCGTTCTCTCCTCACCTCGCCACCTCTTCCGACCCTCGCTCACTGCGTGTGGGCGTCATCTGTTGTGTGTGTGTGTCGCAAACATGGGGCCGCATACAGGAGGAGTTCAGCGCGTACGTTTTTCCTTTGTCGCTCTCGACGACGCAACTCTTTGGCCAGTGGTTGACATCTCCCCCTCGCGCGCGCAGGCTGCGGGACCAGTACATGAAGACCGGGCAGGGCTTCCTGCTGGCCTACAGCGTGACCTCGACCGAGAGTTTCGAGGCCGCCGCAGCGCTCAGGTCCCACATCATGCGAATCAAGGAGGACGAACCGGATGTAAACCACTCCACCGCGTCTTCGCTACAAGATGGATGATTGACGAGTCTCTTCCTGTGTGTGTCGTGTGTGTCGCGTGTGTCATGTGTGTCGCGTGTGTGCAGATACCGGTGGTGCTGGTGGGAAACAAGATCGATCTGGAGGAAGAGCGTGTGGTGAGCCTCGAAGAGGGGCGGGAGCTGGCCAAGAAGCACCGCCTCTCGCACTTCGAGACCAGCGCCAAGACCAACCACAACATCAATGAAGTCTTCTTCTGCCTTGGTAACCACCCACACGCATCACCGCACACACGCAACCCGCACACGCACCACCGCACACACGCAACACAACGCACACTAACGGCGGTTGGAGCGTGCGTGCAGTGCGGGAGATCATGCAGTGGCGAGGGAAGCATATGCGACGGTCGAGCGTCGTGGAAACGGTCAAGAAGAAAAAGAAGGGCTGCACCCTCTACTAGAAGCGCGCCAACCGATGAGGTACACCTACGACGCGCATGCACCGCGGTGGCGCGATCTCGCGGCGAAAGCGAACAAAGTGACCGCGGCCACGACAGAAGGAGGCGAAGAAAGAGGGGATGAAGAGAAAGAAGAAGAAGAAAAGAGAGGGGACAACGCTTTCGTTTTGCGTTAATATTATAATTAAATCATTATTTATTATTATTATTTATTATTTATTGATCACCTCAGGTGTGGGGCGCGAGGGAGTTGAAGCGGGTGTGGGTGATGGCCACGTTGGAGCCCACGTCGCGCAGGTGGTGGATCTCGAAGCCCGCACGCTCCATCTTGGCGAAGAAGTCCGGCGTGCTCTTCAACCTTCGCGCCACGTTGAGCAGGAACACCGGGTAGCCGTACCGCGTGCCCTCCACCACGAGCCCCTCCGCCTCGGCCGCTGCCGCGCCTTCTTCGCATTCCTTCTCGCGGCGGCGGGCGAGCTTGGCCTCGTGGGCGTGGCGGAAGAGCTGCCCGAGGGAGTCGACCAGATTGTCGTACTGCTCCGCGTACAGCAGGATGTCCGACGCCGCCACCACATCCACGTCGTGCCCTTGCAAGTACACACACGACACACGACACACACGACAAAGGGGTCAGCTCGACACACACACACACACCACACACACACACGCCACACAGCCCAGCCGCGCTGGAGAAATGAGTTGGGGTACGGGTGGTGTCGCCGATGGCGGCAAAGCGGGCGCGGAGGAGGTCGAAGGGGAAGGGCGTGCCCCAGGTGTGGGGCACGTGGTGGTGCGGCACGTCGTTGAGCCGGCAGTTGTGGGCGATGTTTTCCTCGATCGCCGCCTCGTCGTAGTCGCTGCTCACCACGTGCCAACCCTTGCGTCGCAGGTAGATCGACAGGATCCCTGCAGCGCACACGCACACGCACACGCACATACGCCACGCACACACGACACACACGCACACACACACACACACGCACACGCGCACATGATGAGCAGCAAGAGAGCTGCGCTGTGGTTCGGTCTGGGAACGGCACCTGTGCCGGAGCCCAGCTCGAGTAGGAGCGGGGAAGGCCGCGGCGGGCCGGAAGAGAGGAGGGTGGCGAGGCGGCCGCCGTTGGGCCACACGTAGGCGGCGTTGGTGGCACTGTAGCCCAGCTCCCTCACCTCCAAGTTCTGCCCCGAAAAAGCCAAATATTATCTCAAAGATTAATCTTTCATCGATCGTTAATTAAATCTTGAGATTAAGATAAATCCGTGTTATCGTCAATCTGATTTGATTCCAAATCGTCCATAAATCAGGAAAATTGAAAATGAACGAGAGTGTTGTACCAGATCGGCAAAGAGGAAGGACTTCTGCTGGCCCAGGCGGGCTTCTTCCTCTACCTCTTGCGCGGAAAGAAGATCGTCGTCGCTGTCGTCGTCATCTTGTGCAAACAGACCACCGCCCAACACGATGGGCGGATCGAAGTCCTCTCGTGTGTTGTTGCTGCTGCTGGTGGCCATGCCTTCCTTGTGTGTAGTACTCCCGCGATGTACAGAAGATAAACTCAAAAGAATAACATAGGAGTGGCGAGGGCGTCCACGTGGGACTTCGTCCAGACGCCGTCCTCGTTGATGTTGACGTCTGCGCGACCGTGGTCGTCGGGCCAGTCGTCGCGCAGAACCCACCTTACGAGCTTGAACGGGCCAGCTGCGCCGCTGGGTCCTCTCTGTGCCGGCACGAAGCCGAGCACTCAGGTGTAGTGCTGACCGACCACCTCTGTGTCGGTCACATTGACCCACACGCCAATCCTAAAATGTTCTTCCAGGCGTGGGAGGCTCTGGAAATGCGGGGTATTCATCTGTAACCACAACTTGCCGCGCGCTCTTCATGCTCGCCTGAACACGAGCAGGCAAACTCGGTCCCACACGAATGCGATGACGAAGTCCCCAACCACGTACCCCACCATCGTCCACTTGAACTGTTGTTGTTCCCCCCCCCCCGCGCGGTGAGCTTGGGGAAGCGAAGCTGCAGATGTGGGCTGAAGGGAGAGAGAGGGAGAGAGCGACACACGTCAGCCCAACTCCTTCTTCGCATCGCGCACATCACGCAGGTGGTGGAGGTGGTGGAGGTGGCGGCGGCGGCGGCCGTACCCTGTGGTTGATGGTGAAGGTGGCGACCTGCATGGCCGACGTGATGAGGAACACGGCCGTGTTGACCATGTTGGGCGTGAACTGGGCGTCCAGCGACGCGCGGTTCTCGAGGCCCTGCGCGGCGTGCGCCAGATCGAGCACCTGCGTGAGCGCGTAGTAGTGCACCGCGAACTGGCCCAGCAGCGACACCACGACGCCCGGCGCGAAGATGCTCCCGGCCGGCCGCGATGTGACCGCTGGCCTTGAGCCCGGCCAGCACGTATTCCTTCTGCTGCGGCGACACGCGCGCCCACACTGTGACCGCGGCGAGCCTCCTGCACGCGTTCTGGAGGTGGGTCAGGCCGTCGCCGGACACGCACAGATCGAAGCCCTCCACGCCGGCTAACTTGCCCCGGCTGACATTTGTGGATCTTCATGATATAATCTAAAAATGAAACACCACAACAACGGCGCATGGCAACCCCCAACAGAATCCACAGAACATGTTGTCCATGAGACCGAACAAGTTGTACAGGAGCCGTCATTGGCCAGGCAGGTTGCCCCGGACTGAGCCAACTCCCTCGTCACCGAAAGTCAAAACCTGTTTTAAAGACGCAAGCCTGCTCGATGGTTTGCTCACTCTCCACGCGGCCCACAAACCCCATGGACACTGCCATCGCAGCACCAAACAGCGACATCACCGAAGAGCTGCTGACGGCCCAGGCCCTTGCGCTCTATGCAGACATCGAGCAGCTCCTCTGCATCGGGGAGGAGATCAAGACAACTGGTTCGCGACCCTCCTTTGTTTCTTTGTTGGTCATTCTAAATAATGAAAGGCTGACTGACAGTTGTTCTCAGGCAGCATCGAGTGCTTGTATGGCTTCCACTTCGACATGAAGGCCCTACACGTCGACCTCGATGACCACTTTAAAGTGGGTCCGAACTGGGGCCACTACACGGGCTCCTGGGAGGACTTGAAGGCCTGCGCCGAGAGCCTCAAGGCCATGGTGGACCGCTACAAGATCTTCGCCACGAAGGAGGAGCTCTTCACCAACGACCTCACGAAGATCATCAACAACTTCGCCACCATCAAGACGCGCCTCGAACCGCTGCCCACGCTGGCCAAGTTGAGCCACATGCTGGCCCAGTTCAACCCCCACGCCAGGTTCTTCAACCCCCCCACGCCTTTGCCTCCGGTGCTGCCACCTCCTTTTTGCGGTAAGCTCCATGGCGCCTTTGTTTTGTGGGCGAAGATCTTGTCTGACAATGCACCGCCCAGGGACCGATCTGTACATCGGTGGCCTACACGTCAGCTGCACCGAACGGGAGCTGAAGGATGCCTTCAGCGCCTTTGGTCCAGTCATTGACGCTGTGGTGTTGAGAAACCATGGGCAGTCCATTGGATCCGGTATGCGGCCACCATTGATTGTTGATTGTTTTTGCACCACGACCACCACCTTGACACTTGTCGCTCGCTCTCCCTCAGGCTTTGTCTTCCTCGCCTCCCCAGACAAGGCACGGGCGGCGATTGCTCAAGGGGCAGAGGCCGGCATCTTCATCAAGGGGCAGAGGGTGCGCGTGGCGCCGAAGCTCAGCAAGCACAACCCGAAGAGAAGGCGTAACAGCAGCCCCGACCGCAGGCATGGGGCATGACCGAAGTCGCAGGCATGGTGCTGCCTAAGGCCGCAAGTGTCCACCACCCACATCACCCATAAAGTGCTTTTTAAAGTGCCTTTTATTGCGGGGCACTGACGTAGGAAGGTTAGACCTCACACGTCGAGTCTTAACCTTAACCCGCCCATCACAGACACATCTACTCGCGCGCGCCCCTGCCTTCGCCTTGGCGGTGAGTTCGGGGCAAACCACAAAAATATTCACCGCATTCGTGTGTCGTCATTTTGCTCTCTTCATGCTCGCCTGAACACGAGCAGGCAAACTCGGTCCCACACGAATGCGATGACGAAGTCCCCAACCACGTACCCCACCATCGTCCACTTGAACTGTTGTTGGTCCCCCCCCCGGTGTAGTGAGCGAGCTGTGAAAGCGAAGCGAGATGCGCGACGTGGGCTGAAGGAGAGAGAGAGAGAGAGGGAGAGGGAGAGAGCGAGCGCGTACCGGCAGCGGGACGAGCTGGAGGTAGGTGTTGAAGGGCGGGATGGACTCGAGCGCGGCGACCAGGGTCAAGGTGGCCATCGCCGAGAGGCCGTACAGGAGGCCCTTGTTCTCCCACAGGTCCTCCTTGAACGGCCGGCCCTGCACACGGCACACGACACACGCGCACACGTCGGCCCAACCTTAAGAAGGCCGCATCGCGCATCGTGCAAGTGGAAAGTGGTAGTGGTGGTACCCTGTGGTTGATGGTGAAGGTGGCGACCTGCATGGCCGACGTGATGAGGAATACGGCCGTGTTGACCATGTTGGGCGTGAACTGGGCGTCCAGCGACGCGCGGTTCTCGAGGCCCTGCGCGGCGTGCGCCAGATCGAGCACCTGCGTGAGCGCGTAGTAGTGCACCGCGAACTGGCCCAGAAGCGACACCACGACGCCCGGCGCGAAGATGCTCCCGGCCGGCCGCTGCGCCGACAGCTTCTCCAGCGGCTGTAATTCATCACACACACACACACAGTCAGTATCCAATCGGCCGGAGCTGCGTGAGTTGGCGAGGGTTACCTTGGAGCGGGTGATGAAGAGGAAGCACATGGCAACCAGCACGCCAACGCACGTCATCTGACTGCGTGCGCGAGCGGTGCGTGAGTTCACAACAGTCGCCCAGGGAACAGAAGATTGGGGGGAAGGGGGTACGTGTCGCCGAGCTTGATGCCGTCGTAGTAGAGGACGGACAGGGAGTAGGCCGAGATGAGGCAGTTGAGGGCGAGGATCTTGTACATCTGCATCGTCGTCGCCAGCGTACAGCGGCCCTGCTGCAGGATTTGCTCCACTTTTTGAACACACACACACACACACCAACACCACAGCGAGAGAGATGCACAAATTCGTCAGCCACCACACGCACGACCGCACACGCACACGCACAGGCGTCGGAGCGCGGACGAGGGGGGTACCGGGTCCGATGGTGGTGCTGCGGGCCGTGAAGGGGGAAGCGATGGACGCGTCGCCGAGCTGGACCATGCCGGCCTCCTCCTCCTCCAGCAGCGCCTGGAGCGTGATGGCCGCACCCGGGCCGCGCCTGTCCTTGTGCCCCTGGGCACCCTTGCGCACCCCCGCCGTCGCCTACACCCCCTCCC